CTTGTATCTCTCAAGTACTACCTGCTGTGACACAAGGAATTGCAATCTCAACACACCATTTAATTTATTATATTTAAGATATCTATATTCATCATAGACCTTAGCTTCTTAAACACTTTGACTTACACTTCTTTCGACATGATATATGCAATCTGATTCTCAGTTCTACATTGTTCCAAGTTCATTTTCCCATCTGTTACATGCTCTCGAAGATAGTGGAACCTCATTTTGATGTGGTTGGTTCGTCCATGTGTTTTCAATCTTCATGTTAATTTCTCCATGACACTTCGATTTAATCTCTTCGACCAGGTTTACCATCCACTTTACTTGACATGCACAGAGAGAATGAGCTATGTAATTTGCTTCGCACGACAACAATGCCACTACTGACTCTTTTCTCGAACTCCAAGCAACTGGTGCACCACCTAGCATAAACACATAGACAATAATGGATTTTCTATCCTCAACATCACTACACCAACTTGAGTCGGTATATCCCACTAACTTGCATTCTTTTCCTTCATCAGCTATAGGAGATAAAATTCCATAGTAGAGAGTTCCTTTCAGATACCTTAGTTTCCTCTTCATAGCTGCTAGGTATGATACCTTTAGCTTCTGCATGAATCTACTCACCATACCTACACTGTATGCTAGATTAGGTCTTGTGTGAAAAATGTATCTTAATAACCTAATAAGTATTATGTACTGAGTTGGGTCGACATCATCTTCATCTGATTCTTTTGACAGTTGCAATCTGGGCTCAGCTGGAGTCGAAGTTGGGTTGCAATCTCGCATCTCAAATCTCTTGAGTATTTCGCTTGCATATTTTCTTTGGAGCATCATCAAACCTTTACCATTCTTGTAGAATTCGATGCCAAGGAAATATGAGAGATTTTTCAAGTATGACATTTCAAACTCCTCACTTAGGTCATGTTTGAAATCTTCGATCTCCTTCTTGCAACTTCCTGTTATCAACAGGTCATCGACATAGAGACATAGTATAAGAAATTCATTATTGCTTCTTCTTACATATACTCCATGCTCAGTTGTGTACTTTACAATTCCTTCTCCCTTAGAAAACTATCTATCTTCTTATTCTAAGATCTTGGAGCTTGCTTAAGTCCATACAAGGCTTTATGCAGCCTATACACCTTTCTTTCTTCACCTTGTTTCACAAATCCAACTAGTTATGCAACATAAATTTCTTCATCTAAGGGGCTATTCAGGAATGCATATTTCACATCCATATGACATATGTGCCAATTGTTCATGTTTGCTAGACCAATAACAAACCTGATTGTTTTGATCCTAGCAACAGGTGAAAAAACTTTGTCGAAGTCGATTCCTTCTTTCTAAAGAAATCCTTTCGCCACAAGTCTCACCTTGTGTCAAGTTACTTCTACTTTAAGATTCATATTTACCTAGTATACCCACTTCACATCAATTGCCTTCTTGCCTTGAGGCAATTCGACAAGTGACCAAGTGTTATTGACTTTGATGGACTCTAGTTCCTTATTCATTGCTTTCTTCAACTTCAAATCTTTCAATGCCTCAGCTGCATTGACTGGTTCGCCATCTACATAGAAAGCATAGTGTACCAGATCACCTTCTTCGTTGGCTACATCATCTGATGTAATCACACATTCTTGAAACCTTGCAGGCATGTGTCTTTTTTGTTGTGGTCTGCTTGGGTATGCTTCACCTCTGACTTCTTCTTGTTGAACTTGTCTTTCGACTTCACTAGCTGGTTCTTCACATAAGATTCTCACTGAATCCTTTTTAACATTCTCAGTCCAACCCCATTCCTTAAGCTCATCTATGATTGCGTCCATGTTGATCACAAATTTCTTGTTCACTTGGTCGAACAACTTATATCCTCCAATTGAATGATATCCTATTAGGATCATTTGACTCGACTCGTCATCAAGATTTATTCTCAACTAATCTGGCACATGTTTATGTGATATAGATCGAAACACCTTCAAATGACTTAGGCTAAGCTTGACATCAGACCAACATTCTTCTAGTGTAATTCCTTCTAACTTCTTTGTCGGACATCTATTCAAGATGTATGTTGCAGTCGACATAACTTCTCCCCATAATCATTTGGTTAGATGCTTTCCTTTTAACATACTTCTTACCATATTCATAATGGTTCTATTCTTCCTTTCTACAGTTCCATTATTCTGTGGAGTGTTGGGTGAGACCACCTCATGCATAATCCTTTCTTTCTCACATAATGCATCAAAATCTTTCGAAACATACTTTCCACCACCATCAGTCCTCAGAATTTTTAGCTTTCGACCACTTTGTCTTTTGACCATAAATTTAAATTTGGCAAATACCTCGATCACTTCATTTTTCTTCTTGATAAGGTAAGTCCACAGTTTTTGACAAAAATTATCTATGAAAGTGACAAAGTATTTGTTACCTCCAATCGGATCCACCTGGATAGGACCACACACATCAGAATATATGACTTCAAGAATTACCTTCGACTTGCTTTCTGCATCCTTGTTGAAGTTATTCTAGTGTTGTTTCTCCTGAACACATTCTTTACACACTTCACTTGGAATATCGATTTCTGGTAATCTTGAAACCATATTTCATCTCTTCAAATCTATGATGTATTTGAAATTGAGATGGCCAAGTCTATAATGCCATAACCATTCATCTTTGATGGATGCAGTTGCAATGCGCTTATGCTCCATCACATTAAGTTCAATCTTGAGGGTTTTATTCTAAGACATTGGTGCCTTCAAGATTAATTTTCCTCTTGAGTCAAGAACTATCATCATCATCTTGTCTTTGATCGACACCTTGTAGTTCTTTTCAACCAGCTGCCCTATGCTGAGCAAATTACTCTTCATGCTTGGTATGTACAATACATTGGAAATTACTGACCTCTTGCCATCTTTTCTCATAATCAGAACATCACAAATACCTTCAGCTGCTAGAGTATTGTTATTTGCAAATTTCACCATACTCTTTATTAAGAGTTTTATGTTTACAAACCAATCTTTCCTATCCATATGTGATGAGCATCCTGAGTTCAAGCACCATTGGTCTTGGAATCTTTCTTCATCTCTTGTCGTGACCATCAACAACATCTCTTCTTCTTCATGTTTGGTCAGCTTTGCATCAGTTTCTTGATTCTTCTACTTTTCAGGACAATCACTAAAATAGTGACCATACTTCTGACAATTGTATCACTAAATATGACTTTTGTCAGGTTTTCAACCACCACCTCTTCTTCTACTTGCACCACGACCTCTTTGGTTGCCTTGGTTCCAGAGACTTCTCTGATTTGACCCGTTTCCTTCTTGTTGATTTTGACCAGTCGAATTATTGTAGCCTTCTCTGCCTTTGTTGTCATTCCAACTTCCTTTGCATTTCTTTTCTTTTGTTGATATCACTCTTCGACTTGCCTGTAGCTCTTTCATCCATCCTTTATTCATGATATTCAAGTGCCCCTTGAAGCTCTTCCTTTGTCAATGTTGACAAATCTTTCGACTCTTCTATGGCTACTACCACGTGGTCGAACTTTGGAGTCAATGACCTCAAGATCTTTGCAACAACTGATCTTGATCTCAACACTTCTCCACATACTTTGATTTGATTCACCAGCTTTGTAACCCTAGTAAAAAAATCAGTTATGCTTTCACTTTCTTTCATCTGAAGTAATTCATACGTCCTTTTGTGAGTTTGTAATCTCACCTCTTTCACCTTATTTGCGCCTCCAAATGATTTCTCTAAGATTTCTCATACTTCTTTTGCTGATTTTACATCACTGACCTTTTCGAAATTATTTGGATCAACACATTGATGAATTATAAAAAAAGCTTTATAGTCTTTCTTCTTCAATTATTTGTATGCAGTCTTTTCTTAATCCGACGAGCTTTCTGCAAGTGGTGTTACTTCTTCCTTCACAAGATCCCAGAGATCTTGATAACAGAAAACCACCTTCATTTGTTTGCACCAATTTTCATAATTCTGACCCTTCATAATTGGGAGACTCGCTTGAAAATGTCTGTTTGGATGATTCATCATCATCGCATCCACGAATCAGAACCGAAACTCTAGATACCATATGTTGGAATTAATCCAAAACCTTGAGAATTCCAAATCCATCTTGATGAACAAGATTCGTTAATTTGTTAGTTATACTAATTAGTTTCTTCCACCGTCTTATGATATGTGTCCCCGTTTTTATTTTTATTTGTCTCAAATTATTTATTCTTTTAAAATACCTATATGATATTTAATATATATTTTCACTCAATTATCCTTATTTTCACTCTATTATTAATAAAATATTTCAATAAATACACTTGTTTTATCATTAAAACACAATAATTAATCATTATTTTAGAAAATGTGAAATGAGACTAATGGATTCCCTAATTGATGAAAAACCCTTCTAATCTTGTGGATGAGTCATGTGTTTTTTAATGATAAATTATTATTAGTAGTTAATCGTTAATCAATGTTAGACTAAGTTATAGTGATAGGTGATATAGATAAGTGACTTTTGATGAGGTCTAAATAGTAAATAAATCATATGATGATAAAACAAGATGGACTAACGTGGGTACTTGAGAGAGATTTCTTTTCCATCGAAAGTTTTTCAATTTTTATGGACTAACAAGATAAAAAAGAAAAAAATCAAACAAAAAATTAAATAAAAATACTAAAACACATTCTCCGGATTCATTCTCAAGTTAAAATCACAAATGAATTGAAATATACAAAGATTAAAAGGGTTTCTAAGCAGTTAGGGAGCTAGTTAGTTATACTAACAGAACTCTAACAAATTAACGGAACTCTAACAAATTAACTGAAAAATTAACAATAAACTAGTTAGTATAACTAACCATATAATCATACATGAGATAATATATTTAATAAAAACTTTTTGTTGTTTGTGCTAAAAGTAGGTGTATCTGCCTCTCTTGCACCAAGTCACCATCCTTTACAATCAAATCAATCTATTGGCGACCATGGTGTCATTGGAAGAAGAAATGGTGTTGAGTGATGACCTTGCATCCATTGGTGATGGCATTAGTGCATCAAGTGTTGATTCTGGTGGAGTGCACAATCAAGTATATAATATACAAATGCTTGAGGCAGCATATTTCAAAGTTCCACTACCTCAAGACTCAGAACGTCCAAGAAAATATACTCCTAGGCATGAAGCAATTACACCTCCTAGCTATCCACAAGTGCAAGGGCCCATGGTTAACAACCCTGCCTTTTGGCAGAGATTAGGTCTTGAAGAATATGGCACTGACATACTGTTCTTCGCATTTTATTATCAACAGGTTGGTACTTGAACGAACTATGCGGTTAATATTATTGTTATTTTCAGTCATGTGTAACTTATATTCATTTTGTTCTTTCTGTAGAACACATACCAACAATATTTGGCGGCAAAGGAGTTAAAGAAGCAGTCTTGGAGATACCACCGAAAGTACAGTACATGGTTTCAGCGGTATGAAGAGCCTAAAGTTGCTACAGATGAATTTGAGCAAGGAACTTATGTCTACTTTGATTTTCATATTGAAAATGATGACCTGCAACAAGGATGGTATGTTGAGTAAACATTTTAACGTGTATTTAATACGATAATTGCTGATTTTACAGTTTCGTAGTTATCTTTTCTGTAACTCGGTGTGATGATTCAGGTGTCAAAGAATCAAGAATGAATTCACTTTTGAGTATAATTATCTTGAAGATGAGCTTCTTGTATAGACGATCCAATACGGTAACAACGCGTCTTCTTGGTTGTTGTAACAAGCAGGTCTCATTAGACTTTGCTGGGAAAGTCTCTTGCTACTTGAATATTCTCTGTTAATTGTCCAGTAGCATTCTCGCTACCAAACCTTCATGACTGGTACTTGATGAGTCCTTATTGGAAGAGTATTAATCCATTACAACTCTTATTGTATTCAAACTTGTATTATGACTGATAACTGCATTGCTTATATATAAACCGGTTAACAGACGCTTATCAGAAACTTACCTGCTAAGAGGAGACTAACTACACTCAATAGAATTCTATTAACTGATATTAATAGAAGTTTCACAAACGTTAACAATCTTGAGTGAACAAAATTTATGTCATGGCTTGCTCATTTGCTTTAACTCTAACACTCTCACACAAGATCAAGGGAGTTTATAAAAATTGACCTTGAGGTCTTGAAAAGCTACAGCACCAAGTGGTTTTGTCAATGTATTAGCTAGCTAGTTGAGCAGATATTGCTCTTCTTAATTTAACCCAATCAGTTTTAAGAGGAAATGACATGAATTGACAAGTTTTATTCACACTAAAAGCAATAACTAGCTTGGTTAGTGTCATATATTGGACGACACCAACTATGGACCTGTACACTTATGGATTACAAAATGTTTGAGAGACATGTCTGTTGAGTTTCTAGGTGCTATACATGGGTGTTGGTGTCCTTGCTATTTAATTTTTCTTTCTTCTTCTCTCAAAATGTCGATGATGTCTTGTTTATTTCTCTCAGCTATTTTTCCTTTTTTCTCTCTTTTTATTACTACGTTGTTGTTCTCGTCCAAATAGGGTTTTAAAATCCCTTAAATCTCACATGCGTCAAAATTGAAAGTAAGACTAGTTCTCTTCTTTTTTTTTAAATAAATGACGAGTCCCACTTTAAGAGTGAGTTCGTCCTGCAAATCTCCGCACACGATTTAAGTGGAAAGGAGCTACTTCACCATGTCCACCTTCTTTCTACAATTAATCATCTTTGTCATCATATTTGAACCATTATCGTCCTTATGAATCTTCTCAAATGAAAATTACTTCATCGCTAACGCAACTCGTAACAATTATACCGCACATCAATTTTCTTTGACCTAGAATAAAACGTCAGGTTCTTACCAAAGTGAGTTGCACGCTGACTATCTTAGAACAACACAAAGTTTTTTTGCTCAACATCTAACTCTTGTAGAAATTTCTTCATCCACAAAAGTTCTTTAGATGCTTCTGTTGCTGCAATATACTCAGACTCAAAAATAGATAAAGTAACACACTTTTGTAACCTTGATTGTCAATACATTGACTCCTGCAAAAGTCATCATATATTCAAAAGTAGATTTTCTATAATCAATATCATCGGCCATATATGCATCTATGTAGTCGTTTAACACAAGAACACCACTCCCAAAGCATAAGCACACTCTTGAAGTACCTCTAGGATATATGAGAGTTAATGTCACTGTTTACCAATAATCTTTAGCAAGATTAGAGAGAAATAGGCTAACAACAATAACATCCTGAGCAATATCTGGTCTTATGCATATCAAAGCATACATCAAACTACCAACTCCAAATGCATAAGGAACATTTTTTCTACCTTCTTTGTCTTCTTCACTTTTAGGACATTCTTAATTCAATTGTGTTAAGTCAACCACAATTTAACTTTCTTCGTGTTACGAGAAATTCTCATACCATGATTTAGTTCTACAGGACCAAAGTCCTTCATTGCAAAGGACTTGCTTAACCCTTTCTTCAAATATTGAATTTTCTTAGTGTTATGGCTAACAATAAACATGTCATCATCATATAAGAATATAATTTTCTTCACAAATACACAATGATCAACAAAACTTTTCCCATAACCATTTATTTCCATGAAAGAATCAGACTTTTTGTACCAGTGTCTCGGAGCTTACTTGAGACCATACAAATTTTTCTCCGATCTAAAAAAAGCTTTTATTTACCTCTGACTCTGAAACTCTCTAGTTTCTCCATATATAGCTCCCTTCCTCTAAATCAGCATGAAGAAAAGTAGTCTTCACATCAAGTTGTTCAACCTCTAGGTTCAAGCTAGATGTTAATCCTAACACAACTCAAATAAATATCATCTTACCACGGATCAGAAAATTTCTTCAAAGTCAATACCTTTTTCTCTAATTAAAACCTTTCACAACCAATCTTGCTTTGTAACTTTATTGGGATTTATTCTCTTCGGACTTTATCTTGTATATTCATTTATTCTTAAGTGCTCTTCTACCCTTAAAGAAACTTCACCAACTCAAATGTGTGATTCTCATTTAAGTAATTCAAATCTTATTGCATGGACTTTAACCACTTTTCTTTATTAACGTTTGAAATGGCCTCTTGGTAGTATTCCATCTCTCTACTATCAATGATCATCACATACTCGTATGGAGAATATCTCTGAGAAACTTAATGTTCTCTTGTAGATCTTCTAAATGAGTGAATCTTTCTTGTAAAAGAGAATTGACAAAAATATTTGTCGTTATTTACCACACAACTGTAGGAGTTGTAACATGGTCACCTCGGGTCTACACCTAACGCAATTCTTGGTTGCCCCAAATTACAACACATGAGGACTTCCAAATCACCATAGCATCATTGTCGCCATACCCATCACTCTCATTCTCATGATTTTGAAGGTGGAGCAGGTAGCCATACACCTCTCAAAGTTTGTCGCACTAGGAGGTCGTCACCACACCATTTTCAGATAAAGGACGAGCAAGACACCAAGGACCAGGCCCCCTTTCAACGCTAAAATAACATATTCTCAAAACACATCATTTAATATAGGACTAATGTTGGCTAGTTTTTGTATGTGCAAGTATACACAGTCAAACTAGCACCAAATGGTAAGAAAAAGTATCAATCCCACAGAGATTATATTAAGCATAATTATTTTCATACAAAAATTTGTAAAGTAAACATAAGCAAAGGTAATAAAATAATGGTATGTGTCACATGGTTAACAATCTGGAAAAACAAAGAAGATAATTAAGGGTTAACACAAAGAAAAAGAATATGTTGAACAATGTCCCATTTAATGAATTCATCTAACGTATGCTTTTGATATTTTCCGTCATGATAGATGAGGTCAGAACATGATCTTAGGGTGTATCTCTATAACATCAGTAACATATACAGTAAAGTAAATAGATAAATCTATAAACCTCACTTGTAAGTTTAATGCATGTTTGGTTTCATTCTGAATGTCCTCTATGATTGCAGCTCTTTATGTCTAAAGTAGCTAATCTAGTGAATATCTTTATCCTACTATTTTCAACCATGTTTACTTATGAGTTCCACATGTCAAAGGATCTCTCAACATTAACAAGTTTTTATCTACTCTCAAGGTCGCCAAATAAAGGAATAAATATATGGCATAAACTCACATGAGTAAAACATTATCAAGAAAACTCATTCATAACATTCAAAATATTACTAATTCATTAAAATTAAAATTATCCAACAAAGTAAGTTTAGCACATAATGAGTAAAATAAGCACAATACAAAAATTTCTTAAGTTACATATTTCTAAACAAGAAGATATAAATGATAAACCTAATAATGACACTTCTATAAATTGCAATTTGTTACTCAGCATGTGACGTCTTCCTTCACGCCTCTCAGTGACTCTCCGTCTTCCTTTATTTCACTTATGCAGAATTTTCTAAGTTTTATAACATTTTTCTTCATTGCATTGCAACTCTATTTTTAGAGGTTTCTCAATTGTGTATTATCTCTCTTTAGTTCGTGGGTCTTTACAATGATCCATTAACTTAAGTTTAAAGAATAAAACATATTCCTTTGTGTTGTACTAGGATAGTACACTGCACACGGGAGACAACATGACATTATGGCTGCATTGCAGCAAAACAGCAGTGCAAGAGCAGCATCAACAAACTTTGACAACTTTTTCAGAATTTTTTATGTAGTATTTCATCTTTATTCATTCATTTTCTCCAACTCAGCCCTATTTTATTCTCAAATATCTGTCACGTCAGCATTAATATTGAACCAGCCCCATTTGGCTCAAGGCCTGCTAAGTATGGGTCATAACTTTCTGGTGTGACACTTTCTGGTGTGATAGAACTTGTCACAAAAGTTGATTCTGCACTAGTATAAAACACATAAAATTGACAAAAGAGAGCACCTAGTGTGCTCTATCCTATATTAACTAAAGTAACATGAAATATAAATAAATGACATTACTCAAAATACAAATTACCCTAAAATTCAAGTATAAAGGGATTAAATATCTCACATAAAATGAGTTATCAATTACTAAGTCTCTTGAAAAATATATGAAGCTAGACAAATGCGATGGAATCGGAGACCCAAATGATCACATTAGACATACACTACAAGAAATATTGCGTTTTCCCACATGTTTTTCACGTCAATAAGCCAAAATACACTACACTAAGCAAAATTTGCAACGTGGGTAAAGCACGTCGAAAAAACAACGGTGGGAACATTTTTCCACGTGAAAATCACGTCACTAATTTGTGACATAGGATTCACGCCACAAACCACCAAAATAATTGAAAATGTTCCCACGTGAAATTCACGTCACTGATATCAATGTAAATGTTCCAGAATGTCTGCAGCACGTTCCCACATGATTCTCATATCACTAATTAGTGACGTGGTTTCCATGCCACAACTAAAAATCTATTTTATATTAGTGACTTTGTTTTCACTTTATTGTATAATTTAATAATAAATATTAATAAATACAACGAGTTAATAAATAATAAAATAAAAAATTAAAATAACATATGTATGTTTCATGGTCAAAAGAATTTAAATATTTTTACTAAAATAAATATTTTTAACCTAATAAAAATAAATTTAAATATTTTTAAAAATTCTATTTTTTTCAAATATAATATATATTATATTTACTAAAATATAATACATATTCTAAAATATAATATATAATTTTTT